TAATTATTATTCAAAATTGACAGCCGCAATCACTAAAGAGAAATTACGATGGAAGCCTAACGAAAACAAATGTACAATGTCAGTGAAGGCATCGCACGGAACTTCCTATTGTGCGACCCTAGCCATATTAAAGAAGATCTGGTACAAAAAAGATTTTTGTTCCTCGATGTTGTTAATAAAACAAAAAGGTTAAAGACAAGTATGGCAAAGAACAAACCAATCTGTTATCATCGTTCATATTAACGAAGTTGTGGTATAACAAATTAAATTAACAGCTGTCACATGGTAACAAAATTTGTAATCTACATAAAAGATGTTTTTTTTGCTTCTTTATTCTTAAAACGAATATTTGCTTTAAATTAGACTGGTTGTTCTCATACATAAAACAACAGAAAGTACCTACCTTCGAGAAAACAAATAATAGATGGGTCAATTGAAGCTGAGCTACATTATCGCAATAGTTAGATCTCACCATTCGCAGCACTATTGCGTCCATGTCTTATTTTCGTTTTAATAATCTCACCTTTTTTTTACCTTTGAATTGTTGGCTAAAGGCATAGTGAGTTTTTTGGTCATTTCAGTGAAATAAACAGATACTATTTGCAAGAGATAAATGGGAAAATCGAGTTTCAAATCATTCAAGAACACAAGACAAATAAGAACAGAAGACGATGAAAACGAATTCAATTGTATTCCGGCTTGCGGAGACTAAGGAGTCATATTACAGAGGTTGTGCATAGATCTTATGAAGGTCACACACGGACACATTATAATGGGGGTGAGACGACCTATCACGTTAGAGCATATAATAACAGACTGCATAGAAATAAATACCACATCCCGAATGACCTATGGAGCACGAGAGCAGGGACAGATCGCTGCTGATCAAATATCTCAGGACCATAAATATTTTTCATTGTATGTACATAGAGTACCTTTATTTATTGGAACGAATGAATTCATTTGAATGGAAGGGCTTATCCCTAATTACCCCGAGGAAGTATTGAGGGGTATTATTGCGTACTTTGGGAATTATGAATGAACGTTTGACTGTAATTTATTAGCGCGTAGGAAGGGACTTATCCTAAATTACGCGGAGGAATATCGAGTGCTCTGTGGTAGTGTGAATGAATTGTGGTGTATGAATGTAACTAATTACTACGAATGGAGGGGCTCATCCCCAATTATCTCGAAGAATATCGAGTGAGCTGGGTAGTGTGATGTGTGAATGTGGAGCTTATACCCAGTTACCCTTATGGAAAACTCTTGTTTAGTGTGAAAGCTAACCAGACTATTGCGTATTACTTATTATGTTTTTGTGTATGTGTTTGTTATGTGTGTTATTTTATCCTCACTTGAGGCTTAGAGGTACAGAAAGGCTAGCAATACGACAAACAAAGAGAGTTGGTGGCCGTTATATCATGTAACTTTATAAAATTGGCTGGAGAAAATTGAAAGAACTTAGAAGGATTAAAACTCAAGAATTACAGAAAAAATTAATACTACGGGTTTTAGACAGCTCTAGAGTTCAGACTAATTTGTTATAATTTAAAAGTAAAAGGATACACGTGTACCAATAATTTGTTTGCTGACTTTGTATAGTTTCATTAAATGCTCCTGGAAAATTGATTATTTGAGAATAGGCTAGTATACAATACTGGTCTTTCCATTTGTTTCAGTTGTTTAAAGAAATCCTTTGCTACGGCAACGGGAAGGACAGGGATCTGCATTCAGAGCAAACAACATTAAACGTCGGCTTTGAGGAGTCCTCTCAATAAAAATAAGGTTGGGAAGAAAGGGAAAAGATCTCCTAATGGTTGGCACTAAACCTCCCGGACTTAGCTCTGCGTTCTCAATGCCCTACCCAAGCTCTCAATGATGGTTATTTACCCAGGTGCATTTTAACAAGACACCTTCACTGGTAAATAGCAGAAACTTGAACTGTAAATTCTCAAGCGGGGAAAAGACCGTTTAAATCATGAGACACGTGAATCTGAAATAGGAGAAAAATTGAATTCAGCCGGCGCGACGGAGAAAGTTTCCTGAAGCTGTAAATCGCAATAAAACTGTAAAAGGGAGGAACGAAGTTCGTCCGATTACAGACTGAGTAATTCGAAGGATGGGTCCTTTTAAGGCTTTTAGGAAGTATAATGAAATACTCTCGTTCCTTTTATATACAATAAAACGATTAAGCATCCAATAAATAGCTAGATAAGTACATGCATATATGAACACCAATCAGCTATTACTAGTTAAATTGTACATCGTAATATTTATACCTTTTTTATTGAGTAATGATTGAATCTGTGATTTGGCCCTTCATGACATTGTGGGTTGTAAATGCAATGTAATTATTATATATGTTAAATGTTTTAAATGGATAGGACCTTTTTAAAACAATCAACTTTTTTTTTGTAAAATCGAAATCATGATTATGTACCCACAACTGTGTCACATATTCTAGTAGAAATATATCTGTGTCTTTTGCGTATGGGTGTGTCCTACTTTTTACCACACGGTAAAAGATATTTAACAAAAATTAATAGTCTAATTTAACACACTCAAGCCTTTATAAGTATAAAAGCATATGTTTGTGGTTCGTAATTAGTAAATTTCTCAGACTGAAGCTAAGACTCTCGTAGTAATGCTGAAAAAACTTGCCTTACAGCTTTCGAAATGATTGTAATAGTAAGTAAAATGACTACGATGTTCTCCCAACCACTTTGACATGCAGCATTGTCAACCGTTGAGTGTTCAAGAAAGATTCTGTAGATTTTATGGTTTGTTAAATTATGTGGTAGATTTGTGCGTGCGAGTGGGTTGAAAATATATTATTGCTGATCTGCTCACTGATTTAAATATGCTCAAATCTGAGCATCCATTTACATATACGCGTGTACTGTTGAATGTATCACTTCCTGCAGTACACCAGCAATTCCAAGCATTGTAATTTACAATAAATTGCCGGCAGGCCTCGAGAACCACCTCGGGTGTTGGCAGACCGGAGTCAGACCTCGGTTTTGTCCGTCCAGCCGCTGAGGTTGGGTTCCAGGAGCTGTCAACAGCTAGGTCATATCAGCTACCAACGTAATCAGTTCCTAAATCCATTCGCACAATCACTCACCATTACCATTTACTTATCGTCCTTTACACCAATTATGTTGTATAACTAAACTAATTGAGGGAAGATGGTGTACTAAATATTCAACCCTCTTACTCTAACATTCATGTCTATAAATACATTCACTCTCAACACATGCTAGAGACACAAAACAATCATTACTATATACAATAAAACAACCCTGTTTCCTCCAAGACTCGGTAGATGTGACCCAGATATTCGCTGCTGTGCTCATGCACAATTCTCTTTTCGGGTGGCATTCCTACGCGCTCTCTATTTGGGGCTAACGCATTGCATCCTTACATGTAGATAATTAGATTGGACACATTCAACAGACTTTCTATGTATGCCGGAACCGAACAACCTCGCATGGACCATTGTTCATCGGGTGAGAATGACCTTCCTCTTCAACTCGTCAAGTCCTCCGAGGGCTTTTGATATGCGAGAGAGCTTCTCTACCGATCCGGCCAACCAACGCTGCCATTTTCTTTTGAAATAAATTTATGAATATTCCTTTGTGTAGCATTATTTTTTATATATTATGTTTTTTAGGATGTCATAATTAATAATATTTAAATCAGTAAAAATGTCTAATAGATATGAGAATTGGAAGATCGATAAATCCTTTTAATCAAGATGGATTTAAAAGTTTTAGTAGAAAATTAATCTATGATATTATGTTTTATTCTTATCTCTAAGAGACACTAAGAAATTTGAGAAGGAGATTTTTTTAAAAAAAGTTCAATCCCATACTTTATTTACATTCAATATGTTAGAAAAGGTGATGAAGGTTGTACTTTTAATTGGTTGGAGGGTGTAATTAATGCTGGCAATGTTACTGTAAATATTTCTGCCGACAACGTTTCTCAATAATCTGTCCTAATTTCCACTCAAACAATGGAAAGTAAAAACAGAATGATTGGGTTAATTAATTGGAAAACATGCCCCCAGAGTTGTGATAATAAAACACGAACACTTTGCCGTATGAAAACATTTTATTTTTCTCGTTTTTAATTTAAATTTCCCAAAGGAAATAATCTACCAAATTGCTTTGTTATAAACTGGAGAGCAATTAGGTCGTTCCCCTTTTCTAAAGCCCCTTTTTATTCAAAAGAAGGGAAAGAAAATGATGGCCGAACCAAAAGTTGGGGTGGGATTATTTTAACATGGATAACCTCTCCGTTACGGTTCATTGGATGCCGGGGAGAGACATAAAGTCATGTTGACATGTGCTAATACCAAAGTAAGAAAAAAACTGCCACTTCTGCATATGGGCACAGGCTCGAGAGCCTCTTAAAGAAATCACTCGTTGGAGAAATATTCGGGGGAGATTATTGCGCTTTACATCAACCCCTACTTAAGCCTAAGTGTCGCCTCTCGACAGTTGAGGATTTAAATAAAATTCCGCCATTCTCGTCTCTTAGGCAATTGCCTGTTAATACCCCAATCCCGCTGTTTTAAATACCTCTCATCGCCTTGTGGCGGCAGTTTTTACTTTTTAAGGAAGTTTTTTCTTAGGTTTCAACTATAAACGCCTTAAGCCCACGTTAATGAAATTATCCGACGGTCAATGTCAACGTCAACTAGGAGAGCGAAAAGGGTAATTAATTGAATATTTAATTATTTGTTAATTATCTCGAAAACGCGGTAAAGGGAGTCTAGTGTCCATGATTAGGTATTAAAAAAACATTACCATTTTTATTCACCCTGAAGAAACAAAGACTTATTCATCCATAATTCATTAATTTCTCCCAGAACTCGGGCCCCACCCTGTCGTAAAAAGACCTTTTTACCTAGCGGGCCATTTTAATTACACGAGGAAAAATCACTTTCTCGTTAAAACCAATCAAGGTATTTATATAATAATTTTCTGTTTCAGGCCTAAGTCAACGGGGCAGAACTTTAGCAGATGCTCCTCGAGTACGGAGAAGAACAACAATCAAATAAAGGTCTTGGCACCATCCCGGGATTTCAACATCGAACAAGAACGGCACACAAAAGTATTATTTATCATTGATTAAACTTGCATGATATTAAAAAATATTAAAATACCTACATCAAGTAATTTTTAAACATTCAATACGATAACTCACAATTTATTAAGATAACTGAGCAATACTATTAATATGATACGCTGTATTTGAAAAAAAAAATACAATCCATTATATTTCGTGGTCCAATTGACCAAATAACTTCTTTAAATTAATTAATCTTTATGTGATGTATTGGCTGAAATGAAAAAGTTAGTGTCACGAGCGGGATTGGAACCCACGACCTTCGGCTAAATACGCCGCTGCTCTACCACTTGAGCTACCGTAACTTCGATCCACTCGGCACCAACTTCCCATCTCAACCTATCTTTCGAATTTTCCCTCCTTTTTGCCATTTGTCAAATGTGTAATCAGGCTTCGATTCTCGGCGACAAATGAAATGGCCACGGAGAGCTTTAGTGAAGATATACTTCGTTTTACTTATTAAATCCATTATAATTCGTGGTCCAATTGACCAAATAACTTCTTTCGATTAATTAATCTTTATGTAAGGTGTTGTGGCCAACAATATTAAAGTAATTATTTATATGCCATGGGTTTAGGTTCTTTTGTTTTTGTAGGCCTCTGGTTTATGATCAGACGCTTGTCTCTGAACAACTTTAAAAGTGTCAAGACCGTTATTTGTGCGCATGCGTGAACGAAAACCTTTTGTTTTGTGAAGTGTCAGCCCGGTGTTCAGTATGGATAACCAGAAAATTACCAAACCCGTCGTGTCGTCTGCCTTAGACAAAATCCGCCATCGTGAAGGCACTTTATCTAACCGCCGCATGAATCATAAGACAGGCTACATATCCTATCCGCTGACGTCGATTAGATATCAGGGAACAATCTCGAGCTGATACGTTGTGCTCGAGATTGCTCTTCTTTTTATTGTTGTTGCCCGTCTGTCCCATCTACGGATTTGATAATTAAATTCTTCGCTAAGAAGTCAACTCAAATATTTTGGAATTTAAACTCTTTATTATTTATAAGATAATAAATTCATATGTAAATCAAATTTACTTATAAAGAATATTGTTAAATTAGATTAAAGTGCCGGCATCTATTACTATAATTTGTAAAGACATAATAAATGTTGAATTCGGAATTTTTTTTTGTTCTTATTTAATAATTAAATGTATACCAGTCCTACCGCGGATCCGAAATTAATTCAAGCATTTTGCAAAATTTTTCGGTCACTGTACATAAGGTATTGGTTGAAATGAAAAAGTTAGAGTCACGAGCGGGATTCGATCCCACGACCTACGGCTAAATACGCCGCTGCTCTACCACTGGAGCTATTGTGACCTTAGCCTAAGGTGGTGGGTTCGAATCCCGTTCGTGCCACTAACCATTTTATTTCAACTAATACCTTACATAAAGATTAAATAATTGAAAGAAGTATGATACAAACTTAAAATTTAATTACAATTAATTAAGGTTTTTAGTTGAGATGAAATTAAAATTTAATATGGATAGTAAAAGCCATCTGCAACTAAGCGATGTTAAAGTACTTACCATGGATTCAACGAGTAGTTTCAATGAACGTTTGTTTGTAACAAGCATTTCCAAATCTTTTTGAACCTTTCCCAAGTCAAATATATCCTTTTTGTATGATCTGAAAGCTTATGAACCTTTTTATGCTCAATTGTTACCCGTTTTATTTCATTTCTAACCGTTTCCATTTACTACTGTTACTAAACAACTAACATAAATTAATTATAGAAAAGCAATGTTTTTTTTATTAAAGGTATTTGTTCCTTTTTACGAAAATGAAAGAAAAATAAATATTTAAACATTTGATTTTTTTTCAGAAAAAAAATCGAGGGTATTTCAACTACGCTTTATAGGTTTTATGAACCCTCATGCTGTTTTTGAATAAATTTATTAGGTTTTACAATTTGTAAGTTTGTCGAATCCCTGCATTCGAATCTGGACTTTAAACACAGCGATGAGCGTTTTGTTAATTTGCAGTATATTTGCAGTAATAAAATTCCATCATTTCTACCAATGAATTCCACGGCCCCTATAAAAGGTTACACTATACATAGAGAAAGTAAAAGCAGACATGTATATGATTTATATGATATAATTTTTTCTCTCCCTGTTACATGCTAGCTTACTAAAGATGATTGTAATATACTGCTAACAATAAAAGTATATTAGTTGGGCTATGAAAGCTAAGGCTAGTAGTACGTAATTGTCCATCGAAATTGCAGAAGATTTTTGTTAATCTTAGTACACACCTAACGACAATGTTCCCCGATTTTGTCCCTGGACAAGCCTGATACATTGGTCCAAGACTGTCGGGAGGCAAGGTCGTGTCATCATGAAGACAGTTAAGCTAAGAAATCAAAACGCAATGTGAATAGCACTTGCAAAACTCTTTTATTTACAAAATTTAATGCTATCAAATAAGAAAATTCGTAAACCTAAACGGTACTGGAGTCTGAATATCTAAATTGCGATTTACAATCAGTTTATTTCCATCTTTTGACATTTTAATTATTTTTGCGAGAATTTCGAGAGCATCCCTTTTTGAGTCTAATTTTTGTTATCATCAATTGTTACTTCCCAAAAAACAAGGGATGATTTGCCAATTTTCAGTTATTTTTAACGTGGTTTCCATGACGGCCAACATCAATAAACACAACCATACGTTCAGGAACAAATACAGTTTAGACATGTTATGCAACATAGTATCAGTGTTATCCGTTTTCGATGGAGAACTTGAGTCATGGGGCTTTTATAACGAGAAAAGAAAAATTGTCCCGGCACACGCCGTTTCTTGTCCGGAAACAAGTGTTCTGCAACAAATGTCGCTAGGTGTGTTCTAGGCTTCAGTAGTAAAGAAGCCATCATGCTTGTGTAAAAGTAAGTAAAATTTGTCCCTCAGTTTGTTAACTAGTTTTTCTTATATTCAATTATGATAAACAATACCTCGGCTTACTTCGTTTTTGGTATTTCCATTGCAGTTAGGCAGCAGTTTTTTCTAACTTTATCAACTTACTATCCCACCAGGCTACCAAACATTGCTCCCAACATACCAAAAATATTTGGATTGCTTTTATTAACTGAGACCACATCACCTTTCAAATGTTAAATTTTTTTAAAATTTATGTTTCGATAGAATTTATTAAACTTTTCCAAGTTTTTAATTAAAACAGAGTGAAAGGAAGGCCAACTCGTTCTATGTGTTTTGCTCATTTCTTCTATTACCAGGATTGTGAAGTTTTTATTTCTTTTCGATTAATTCAGGTTTTGGTTGAGATAAAAAAGTCAGTGTCCAAACGGGATTCGAACCCACGACCTTCGGCTAAATACGCCGCGGCTCTACCACTTGAGCTATCGTGACTTCGATCCACTCGGACACAAACCTCCCATCTCCAACTAAACTTCTCCGTGGCCATTTCATTTGTCGCCGAGAATCAAATAGATTTCACGACATTTGAAAAATTGCAAAAAGGAGAGAAAATTCAAAAGGTGGGGTTGAAATGGGAAGTTGGTGTCTGAGTGGATCGAAGTCACGATAGCTCCAGTGGTTAGAGCAGCGGCGTATTTAGCCGAAGTCATGGGTTCGAATCCTGCTTGTGACACTGACTTTTTTATCTCAACCAAAACCTTAATTAATTGAAAAGAATTTATTTGGTCAAGCGGACCACGAAACCCAATAAATGCAAATTGTTTATTTCTGTTTGTAGTGAACAAAATAAACGTATGGTCAAGGGGCACTGTTATGTTCACTGATAGACCACAATGGTCAGGTCGATGTTACATATACTTATTACTCTTCATAGTGTGAAGTCTAAAAGTAGTAGTATTGTTACATTTGTTTACTATCCATGTTATTACTAAATGTTATTGTAAACCGTAATGAAAACACTGGTTGATTTTGGCTCTGACTAATTGCAAGTTGCTAATGAATACGACATGAGCTTTCATCATGTAAATTACTAAAAATGAGCAACCAATTTGGTCATTCTAGTTGTCAATTTATAAAAGAATTTCAGGGTTTTATGATCAACGCTAATTATGACAAACTGTGGTGGCACGCGAGAAGAATTACTGTTCTAACAATGCGTGAATTACGACAAAGTGGTTTTTGCTTCATGCGAATCCTCCGGCGAACAGCCCGTTTCGCATTGTTATCACTGTTTTATGTTAAAGAGATAATATAGTTGAGTTTTTCAAGCAACCGCAACATAAAGCTCCCACATTATTTAAGCACATCTCTAATTTCTGGAATATTTTTAAACAAATTTAAAAACATGCCACAAGTACGTTTGAAATTATGAAACATACCAAAAATTTTCGGCTTTGAAACTTGAATCCATGGAAATTTGGATGTACATAACTAAACATCTGAAATAATGCATTAATAAAAATATTAAAAACAATAAAAATTAATAAGCTAAACAGCTCGTAATTTTCTTTGATATTAAATCTTACTTGTCATTGAATAAATGTGATATGACTTCAGTAACTGAGTTGTTGGCGTAGTGTGTCAGACTCTCGGTTCTTAAACACCAAGGTCGTGGGTACGATTCCAACCATCCGCCCTAGATTTTTTCACCGTTCGCATCCAAAACGTACTTAGGCTAATACGAAAAGCGTTGTCATAAAAAAATGGAAAAAGGCAAAAATGTAGTTTCATAGAGGACTGTTATATATTACTTTCCAAAATTTATACAACAAAAAGAATTAAATTTTTTAACTAAATTTTATTGGACAAAGGAGATAAAACAGTATATTTTTAAAGGTAGAAATTCATATTTTTATGGATAGATTGTTATAATTTACATCAGTATGTATGTGAGAGAGAATTTTCTTGAAACATTGAAAGGGAATTAACTTGTTCGTTTTTTACCATTTTAGTGTATCTTGGTTGTTTTCGATTATGAGAGCATGTTCAATCGCTGGTCCATGTGTTTTTTATTATTAAAGTATCATTTTCCTAAGCTCAAGTTCTT